AAGAAAAAATGAAAGTCAACTACGTCTTCATCTGCTTCAGAAAAAGCAGAGAAGATCGAGGTGAGGACTGGCCCCCGTGCTTGGGTTTGTCCCAACGGCCCACATGGTGCTGCTGGAGCTGTACAGAAACCTGGGAATTCCAGGGCAAGGCCCATGGGACCCTTCCTATTGCAGGTGTCGTTACATGTGAAATTCTCACGGAAGTAGTTTCTTGTGGAGGAAATAAGCCCTTTTTGGAGGGTAAGGGTGAGGGAGTGTTTTGGTTTCTCCAGTAGATCTGCTAGACGGCAACATCACATGTGACCCAGGGAAGCTGTGGCTGCCCCATCCCTGGAGGTGGTTGGAGGCCAGGTTGGAGGGGGCTTGGAGCAACCTGTCTAGTGGAAGGTGTCCCTGCCATGGCAGGGGGTGGGACTGGATGAGCTTTAAGGTCCTTCCAACCCAAAACCGTTCTGTGATTCCTTGATATCATATGATGCTTTTGTGCCTTACCATTAAATACTCAGGTGCAGAAAGCTGCTCCTGAATGACTTGGGAGGCTTTTCTCCTCCAGAACCAGTTAATATTCCCCCTTTGGTAAGCAGTGAAGTCTGTGTTTGGCACCAGGCTGCAATGATGTGGAAGGTGAAACCAGGGAGGAGTTAGTAGATGGGAAACGAGTGCTTCCAGATTAGTGCCCTGTAATTCAGATGCTTTTTAAAGATCTCCTGGCACTTTTGCCCTTTCCAGATTTACAGGTAATCCTAGTCCTGGCTGGAGAATCTTATGGCTCTGAGGGCTTTACGATCTAAAGACAGACATGTTGGGTGAGGGATTAAGGCATGGAGGGCTGCGGGAGGTACCAGGCTGGGGACATGTCACTTTAAGTCCCACCAGGCACAGGCTGTAACCCAGCGAGTAATTCCAACCCCAGCTCTAATTTTACTCTGCAGCTTCACTAGCTGCACCGACTTCTCCAAAACGACGGTCGTTAGTAGAGCTAAGCTGAGCTGAGCTCAGGAAGATGTCATCATCCCATATTACCATGCCAAGAATAATTTGCAGATTAAGTGCTGGCTGTTATGTCACCAGCAGCAGTGGTTGCGTGGGTGATGGGATGGGGACAGGGGACAGCCCATACCAGGGCTTGTATGTAGGAGTTGTGGAGCACCCCAGATCCCAAGTGCAGCTGAAATTCAGTGCTACCTGGAAGATACCTCCAGGAACTCCTCTGTTTGGCCATTCAGTGCCTTGGAGCTGATCAGCCGAGGGGCCTGTAGGGATCAGACGTTTCACTGGAGTGACTGTCATAGGTCACAGGGAAGCCATCGCTTCAGTAACAGTAACTGTGTCACAGAACTTTGTCTGGTAGCCCTGAGGTGTGGGGGCTTCTAGGCTGACCCCACTCAGAATTCCCACGTGTGAATTTCCTGGGGTGCTCCCAAGCTGTGCAGAGCTGTCTGGAGTTTGCACTGAGCTCCAGGACCTCCTTATGGAGGAGACAATGTCTGCCTACTTCCTAAGCAGGTTCCTGCTTGCTGCTGTCTGTCCTGCTTTCAGGGCCCAGAGAAGTGCAGGATAAAACCTGTGGGATGGCCACGTGTGTCCTGGGAAAGTGGGGATGTGCAGCTGGTGCAGGCAGATGACCAACCATCACTGTTTGTCAGAGGAAGGAAGAAACATGGAGAAAGCTGCACAGCTCAAATCCCCTTCACACTTGGATGAGCCCAGGAAGAGACAAAACTTCCTGCTGGAAAGGGCTGTCACCTTAACATAGTTATTCTCTGTGCAGGAAGCTCTGGATGCACTCCCAGAGGGTGTTCCATGCTCTTGGATATTTATGGCTTGAAGGTGAGGCAGGTAAAGAGGATCACTCCTGGTGGTAACAGATCTCCTTCTCTTTGATAGCTCCACTCCTGAAGACATTCAGCTTCTTGGGCTTTGAGATCGTGCGGCCTGGTCACCCCGCAGTCCCATCGCGACCAGACGTGATGTTCATGGTGTACCCCCTGGATCAGAGCTCTTCCTCTGATGAAGAGTAGCTGCAGTGGGGACTCCAGCGGGACCCCAACATGCTGTGGAGGGGAGAGAGGGTTCTACCTCCTTTCCTGAGGAAAGGGAAGCCAAGTTTCTGTTGGACTGCAAGCGCATTTCTCATTGTTAGATTGGGCTGTGTATCCCCAGAGTTGACTCTCATTGAAACATGTTGCCTAGAGAACTATTTATCACACATGTAATCATCACTAGGAAAAGGAAGATGTTTATGAACTGGCATAGAAGCTCTTCCCATGCAGCTGCGTGGTGTGGGAGCCCTGGGGCCTGGGCCCTGCTTGGGTTGCACCCCTGGGACTCCACCGGACCCATGGCAGTGCCTCCCACCTGCCCAGTATGTGCTCAGTTGGGAGACAATGCTTTCATTCCCCACTCAAGACATAATGCAAACAGCCTGGTTTGGTGTGGGACACATGCAGGAGACGCTCAAGTTTATCCTTTAACACTACATTAAACCCCCCATGCGTCTCTGCTCCAATGCTGGTTTAACTGGTCTTTTTTTTTTCCCTTTTTTTTTCTTTTGAAACTTCTTGCTCTTCCGGCTTTTGTTTTACGCAGTCTTAATCCTGTTCCATGTTCCCACTGCATTATCACGGCGTTCAATAAAAGGGGCATTCAGATGAACTTCACACACCTGGGGCTGCTTATTTGGGACGAACAGTTTCCTGACCTGTGCCATGATGGTTGGGATGGTCAAAGAGCCAGGAAAAGCTCCTGCCTTTACCCTCCACCCAGGACTGGTACGGAGCAGCCCTGGGCCCTCTCCTCTACTCCTCTTCACCTTCCCAAAGGCGTGAGCTCAAGACTTGAGATGCTGTTAAAGGCTGTATCCAAACCAAAGGGTTGTGTGGGGGCAGGTAGTGGGATGCTCTCCCCATCCAGGGGCTTTCCCAGGGTGGGGCCATGGTGCTGGCAGTAGGTCAAGTCCCAACCCTGCCCTGTCTAATGCTGGAGAAGGAGGTAGTGCTCTGTCCCTGTGGCATGGGAGCTGTATCCTGGCTGGCTCTGACAGGCCCCAGGGAAGGGGAACGTGTCACCTGTGTCCCAGGAGCCCATGCCCTCAGCTCTTCCAGCACGTGGGATTGTTCCTGGGTGTTCTCACATTCCATAACCACCACGATCAGTGTTTGGTCAGGGGAGAGTGAGGTAGAGCTGCGATAAGAGTGTGTGTGAATAAATAAACTTTGTGTCTCTTTTGCCCTCCTTCCCCTCCCATGAAACCAAGGGACCGGTGGCTCTGCTCCCTCCTCAGACCCTAAATCAGTTTAGAATCAGAGCTGGGCTGTGCTGATGGACCCCTGACAGAGACCTGTGGACTGGGTGTTCCCTGGCTGAAGCAGCACTGAGTGCTGCTTCTGGCTTTTGAAGGACCCAGTTTTATCCCTTCTTACAGCTGCAGTTGCCTCTGCTCCTGCCTCTGCATGTGCCAGGACCCTGTTGCCACCACATGGTGCTCTGCTCAGGTACATCCTGAAGGTGATGGAATGGGAACCACTTTGCTCCTTTACTAGTAAAGTGCAGGATCCTGGTCACAGAAGCTGGAGTGAGGCTCATCTGAGCTTCTTAATGAGCTGCAGTGACAAGGCTGTGCCACTGCACATTCAGCTCTGACAATTCTAAATTCTCCCCTGCCCTGCCTCCAGCACAGGCAGGCAGATGCAGAGGTCTCAGATCACTGGTGTCTTCAGAAACACCCTCTAGAAAATGTGCAAGGTGCCTCTGCTGCCCGTGGTACCCCCTGCTTGCCCAATGCCTTCCCTGAGGCAATGGTGGAGGACAGGACCTTCGTGCCCAGGGGTTCAGCCTGGGGGGTTCTGCTCCAAATTATCCCCTCAGAGTTCAGCTGCAGCACCCTCTGGAGCTGTGAGCGCTGGGGCAGAGTGGAGGGGCTGGATGCAGGAGCGCAGGGATGGAGCCTCAAACCAATGAAGTTGCTTGAGCCCTCTCAGATGCCCCAGAGGCGGGGTAACCCCCTCTCCCACCCCCAAAAATCACTGGCTGCAGCTTTTGGGGATAAAGGACCAAACTTGGGGGGAACAGGAAGAAAAAGCCACCCTCGCAGGTTTGTGATTGTCTCTTAAAAAGATTTATTCTCCCTCCTTGCCCAAATGTACAAAGGCAAGAAGAGTACAGTTTGTATATATATATATTTATATATATATATATAAAAAAACAAGGAACTCGGTAATAATGTACACTTTACAGAAGGGCAGAGTCAGGAAGACTGAAATGAAACCCAACACAGCAACGCCAATGGAAACAAGAGCTATAAACACCAACGGTCCAATGCCCTGACTGGGGGCCAGGTAGTGGGAATCCCCCCAGTGCGGGGGCCGACTGAGGCCCCACAGGCAACAACTGACCCAGAGAACCCAGATACATCAAACCTCAAACCTATTCTGCATAAACGGTTGTTTCATTTAACACCTAAAGGGAGACTCAACTGAGACCCAACTGGGAAGGTGGGGAGCAGCCCCCTGATGCCCTTCAACTGCCAACAAAGCCTGTGGCACCCCCCAAGCCCCCCGCCCCAACACCCTCCTCTGTGCCCCTGGAGCCGCTGGTGGGCCCCGGCCATGCTGGGAACCAGGCTGTGCTGGGCCGGCCAAGGCTGGAGGTAGGAGCAGCCAGTGGGACACTCCTCCACGTGTGGGATGTGGGGCTCCCCCAAGCATCCTGACCCCTCCAGTCCCCAACCCCGTGGCTGCATGTGGCTCTGGAAGGGGTGTGAGGTGGGTCGAGCCACCACTGGGCATCACCCACCCTGTCCCTGTGGAGCATGCTGGGCCCGCCTCCTTCCAAAAACAACAAAGAGTGGAAGAAAAATGAGTCAAACAACAAGAGCAGGCTGGGGCCACCGCACTACTAGCACCTGAACCAGGGTCGAGAGCAGCCAGCACCTCCTTTCCAGCTGGGTACAGTGGGATGGGGGAGAAATGGGGAAAGAAAACAAAACCCAAAACAACAGCTTTCAAACAATTGCTTTTTACAGTATGTACAAAGCCCGGTGGGCAGAGCATCCCCGTACAGCAGCCCTCGGGGCCGGGTGCGACATGGACACAAACACAAAACCAAAACCCACAGCCCCCATGTCCCCCCAGCCGGGCAGCAGGAGAGGGGGGAGCTGGGATGGCCCAGCCACTGCGGGGCCGAGGTAGAGCGTCGGCCCAGGGAGAGCTGCTCTGGGGCTGGGGGCAGAGGACCAGAAAGCCCCTGTCCTCAGTGCTGGGGAACAGCAGGAAGCAGGGACCGGCTTCCTCCAGGGCCTGGTGCCCCCAGCCCCAGCATGAGGCCAGAGCAGGGACCAGCACAGCGCCACGTGCCTCTGGCAGAACCTAAGTGTGCTTGTTCCTTGCTGCGCCCTGCCCACAGCCTGGGGGAGCCGCCCTAAAAACAAAAGGTGGATGAAAAGGAGAGCTACAGCCACGCCCCAGCAGGATGTGCTGCCCTAGGGTTTGGGGAGCGTTTGCCACGGTAGGGGGGCAGAGGAAAGGCCGGGGGTATTACTGAGTTGCAGCTCAGAAACCAATTGGAAAGTGATGGGCAGGACCTTCAGGCAGGTCTGGACCGTGCATGGCACAGGGGGACCCCGGAGCCCCAGGTGGGGTGCCAGGCACAGCCCCCAATTCTGTGCCCCACTTGCCCCCAGACCCATGGAGCCCTGAGCCCCTGGGGCAGAAGTTGCTTCACCGGGGCCAGGAGCTCCCACTGCTCCGGCCACCAGTCCCACACACACCAGTGGCTCCAGCCCATGGGCACAGAGCGGTGTGTACCTTGGGCTGCAGGATCAGATGAGGGACTAGGAGAGGGAGAGCCTCATATGCAGCACAACCCTGTGCCCCATGGCTCCCTCTGGCTAGGGTGACATTGCCCCCAGGCTCACAACAGCTCCCCCCACGCCTGCCGTGGCTCCTTGTAAGCCAGCCCTTCTTTTCCTGAGACCCCATGGCAGGCTCAGCCCCACGCTCTGAGACCCTGACTGCCCCCAGTCCCATCATGAAGCAGCAGCTCGAAGAGACATGGTGGGGTCCGAAATCCATCAAGAAACCTCAGTGCTTCTGTTTCCTCTTCATATGCACCAGACGGGCAAGACGCCTCCATCTTGAGCGCTGGTGCCCAGTAGAATAAATATTTCCGCAGGTACCAGCTATCCCACTCACCAAAGGGGGTGTGGGGGGCAGTCAGTGTGTGTCCGACAGGGGGAGAAGACAGAGTCTGCCTCGGATCGCAGCAGGAACGTCAAGCAGAACAATTAACACCATTCAACTGATGTCTAAAGAGAGTCTCCAGCGCTTCCCCATGTGAGCCAGTCACATGTCTTGTACAGCCCAGGCATCCCAGCGCCTCATGTCCTGCCACAACCCAGGGGCAAGTCAGCTCCCGCGAGCCCCTGGGGCAACAGGAGGATCCTAAACCTTCGAGGGCACCCCCTGCGTGCCCATCCTGGCAGGAGCAGAGCCTTACCATTCTCACCTCCGGGGAGGTGGGTATAGGGAGGGAGTAGAGCCTTGCTGGCTGGCAACAATGGCTGTGGAGGAGAGACCTGTGGAGGAGAAGCAGTGTCAGGAGCTGGCAGCCCAGGCCAGGCACCCAGTCAGACCGGGGGATGGTACAAGGGCTCCCGCAGCCCAAGGGTGAGTCCAGCTCCCTCCCAACCCCCCCGAGCCTGGCCCAGCTCACCTGTTGCATAGGGCAGGTTGTACTGCGCTGGCAGTAGTGAGTACCCGAGGTGGTGGTGGTGGTGATGCGTCGAGAGCAGGCGCTGGGAGGGCGATGTGCGGGGCCGGTCGCCGCTCCGCTCTCCTGTTCCAGCTCCCCCGACACTGCTGCAGCTCCCGCCGCCCCCCACCACCCCACAGCGGTCCCGCTCCTGAGACGTCTTCTCACTTATCTGGAGAGGAGAAAGCAGACATATGCTGAGGGATATGATCAGCCACCCCAGGGCGTATCTCAGGGTGATATTCCCTGCCTTTGCCTAAAGACCCCCCATGAGGTGACAAGGGGTCACAGCCCAAAAGCCATGGGGAGAACACAAGTCCTGTTTGAGGGTAGCTCTTTCCTCACTGTGTCCAAACTCTGTCTCCCAGGTCAGCCCAGCAGGAGCCATGGGATGGAGACAGCCCCTGCATCCCACCCACCAGTTCCAAGGCTATGGACAAGTGTCACTGGGTTCCTGCAGGGTTTGGAAGAGCCCCAGTGGGTCAGCCCTGCCCACAGGCTTGGCTGGTCCATCCCAAAGGATTTGTACTGTGGTAGTACTTCATGGCTGCGGGTCTCCCACAGCAGCAGGTACAGCAAACCCCTCGGCAGGCAGAGCTGCTCCCAGCTGAGTACAGGATCCAGGGACTGTTCCACAGAGCTGGGCAAAGCCAGTGTGCTCCTGACCCTCACCGTGGGTGATTTGCTCTTGTAGTGGCTGGCGTGCTGCTGCAGGATGTCCAGGGCCTTGGACTCTGAGCTGGATTTACAGCTCACGCTGGGGCTGGCTCGGGACTTGTCACTGTCGTCGCTGCCGGACGCCTTGCTCCCGTATGGAGAGAAGGAATAGCTGGAGGGTAGGTATGATCCTGGGGAGAGAAAAGCAGTCAGGGCACAGGGAGGATTTGGGCAGCACAGTGGGAGCACGTGGCTCTGTATGTATGTGAGAGGACGTCCTGCAGCTGCCCCCCATCCTGGGAGCAGGGACAGCTGGGAAGGGACGTCCCCAGGAAGGCCCTGGCTCCCCACCTGGGTAATTCTGCATCATGACGGTGGGCATGGCACGGTAGCTGGGGTGGTTGGGGTCGTACGACTGGCTGTAGGAGTAGCCGTGCATGTAGGGGATGTAGGACTGGTGCTGCGTGAGGGGTGAGGACACGGGGACGTGGACACTGGGCCTGGGGTCCTTCCCCACCATGCGAGGTTCCTCAGGGGGGGTCAGCTTGCACTCGGAGCTGGTGCTCTCCTTCCCGTCCTCCTTGGATGAGGCTTCTTTGCTTCGATTCCTTTCTTCCTTCAACTTCCGGTCCCTCTCCTCTTTCCACCGCTCATCCTCCGTCTTGATGTCTGAGTACTTTGCCGGGTACACGTAGGTCCACATCCGGGGCTCGGCTTCCTGCAAGAAGAGACAACAATCAGAACACCTGCCTCCCCCCGGCTCTGCCTGTCCCAAACCCAGCCCGGGTTTGGAGGAGACCAGTGAAATTCCACTCCTCTTCCCCCAGCGTTCCTGAGCCCATCCATGGCCTCACAGCCCCATCCCTTTTCTGGCCCCAAGGGAATCTCATGGAGTCCCACTACACGCAGAGGACAACATGTGTTCTCCAAGGTGATGGCCCCAGAAGAGCCCTGTGGCAAAGCCATGGTGAGGGGCTTCCTCCAGAAGCAAACACCCAGCTGGGCTGGCAGACAGGGCAGGGCATTACCTGTCTGTACCAGAGCACAGGGTCCACCTCTGCTTGCCGGCCACACTCAGAGCCAGCCTTAGTCTCAGCAGTTTCCTTCCCAAGGTGACTGGCCTCGCTTAGCTTCACCTTGAGCCCCTCAGCGACCTGGCTGCCGGATAGCTTGGATGAGTCCTCCAGTTTGGGGATGATGACAGATTTGGCCATGTCAGGACCTCCTGGTTCCTTGGGCTTGTTCAGTCCTGACTTGACAAGGTCCGTGAGGCTTGGGGCTTTGGTCAGTGTCGGTGGCATGGGTGGCTTCTGCTTCCACTCTTCTTTGAGCACTGCCTCCCTCTCTTTCAAGCCCAGCTCCGCCTTCTTCTCCACTCCCCGCTGCTGCTGCTGCTCCAGGCTCTGCCGCTGCTTCTGCTGCTCCTCATACTGCTGGCGGTAGGCAGGGTTGGTGCTCAGCAGGTGAGCATGGTAGCCCTGCTCATTGTAACCATAGGGCGGCACGTAGGCATACTGGTTGTAGTAGAGGGACTGCATGTACATGTTGGGGCGCTGCTGGATGACTGAGGGTTGCTGGTTGGAGCCACCACCAAGCTCTGCCTTCTTCTCTTCGCAGCCTTCGCCCTTCACCTTCACGTCTGGGTTCTCCTGCTCCTCATCCTTCTTCAGCTTCAAGGTCTGTGTCTCAGCCACAGACTGCCCACTGGGGTTCAGGGGACCTGGGCTGGCCTGGGGGTAGCCTGGGGAATAGTAGGTTTCAAAGCCTTGGTAGTAAGGAGACTCTTTGCTCTGAGGTTGTGGGGGGAAAAGAGCTTTTTTGGCACCTTCCTTGACCAACTGCTCTGGATCCTTCACCTTCACGCTCTCCAGCTTACCCTCCCCATCTTCCCCAGCGTCAGAGATGTCTGAGTAGGCTGGGCTGTTGGTCTTCACTGAGCTGGCCTCTGCCCCGTTCTGGGTGACAACATGCAACGGGGTCAGGGGCTGGGCTGGGTTGGTGTTCTCCAGCCTGCTGGCACCGCCGATGGAGGGGCTGGGCGCGTTGTCGGTGAAGCTATAGATTTTATCTGCCTCAGCCTTGATGCTGGCGAGTCGGCTCTGGTGGGGGTCAGATGAACCATTCAGCAGCCCCTCGCCTTTCATTCCCAGGTCGCTGGATTCCCCCCGGAAAGGGCTCTTGCCTTCCTCCGCTCTGCATGCTTTGCCAGGAGTCAAAGGGTTTTCCACCTCCTTGGGTTCCTTCTTCTTCTTGTCTTTCTTCTTCTTTTCCTTGGAAGGGGTGAGGGTGGGGTTGACGGTGAAGGGCTCTCCCATCACTGTTGGCTTGGGCTGGATAGGTTTGAGCTGGGGGCTGTTGGGCATGGTCTGCACCACAGTGGTGGCAAGGCCAGAAGATGAGCCAGGGCTGGCGGTGGTGAGGGTGGCAGTCTGGAAGGTGTAAATCGGCTGCGGGGGGATGGCTGGCGCAATGGGTCTGGCAGACTTCAAGCTTTTGGAAGTGATCTTCTCCTGCTTAGCACCAGAGGCCTTCTTTGACTTGTCCTTATCAACACATCGCTTCTCCAGAGAGTCAAAGTCATCATTACTTGTCTCATCAGCCACCGACGGACCATCCTCGGAGCCATCATTGGACAGGGCACCTGGGTCTGTGTCCCCCTCCCCACTCACCTTCTTCTTGCAAGGGACCTTGGTGCTGAACTTGCTGGACGGGGAGGGGCTGTGGGGCTCCATCAAGCGCACCTTGGGGGTGGCCGAGCGAGCTGGCGAGAGAGAGCCTTTCTGAGAGCCAGCGGCCCCATTGCAGCTCCCGATGTCAGCGTGTAGGGAGGGTTCCTCACCGTACTCGCTGTCCACGTCCGCCTCCAGCTTGCTGTCATCATCTGTGTGTGCATGGGCCTGGTGGTACTTCAGCCCGTTGATGTGCTTGTACTTCTTGTTACAGTTGGGGTGGGGACAGTCGATGAGGATGGGAGAAGGGCAGTTGCGGTCCAGGACAGCAGGTTCCACCTTGACCGTGGCGGACGGCACAGTGGCCGAGCCCATCGAGTTCGTGCGGATGCGTTTGCTGCCCTTGGAGTCCTCCGAGCTGGAGTTCACCTCCATGTCAGAGAGGGGTTTACTCTTCCGCTTGGTGACAGAGGAGGGACTGGCCTTCACATCTTCAGCTGTGCCGCTAGGCGGAGTGCGGTGGTCCGAGGAGTTCTGGCTGCCCCGGCGCCCCTTGCTGTTGGCTCCTGCCCGGGTCTTGCTGCTGTTACTGGTCCCTTTGCTATCCGAGGCGGCAGCCGCTTCATTCACTGGCGTGTTGCTGTTGGGGCGCATGCGTTTGCCCCTGCCCCGGCCATTGCGCATCTCCAGGTCACTGGTGGGAGAGTCACAGAACCTGTCGGGAGGAGGACATGGAAGTTTTAATGGAGAGACGGTCATGCCTGTGGCACAGTGGGGACCCCCTTCCTCCCCTTGCTACAAATCCCACAGACTCATCCCCTCGTTGGCCAATAAAGAGGAACTAGACAGGCCCACTGGGATGTGCTCAACCATCTTCACTCCACAGGACAAGGGACCTGCGACTGTGAGGGCAAAGAGCCATGGGAACACCTCAGTTGTGCAGGTAGGAGATACCAACCCCTATGGCAGCCCCAGGGACACAGAGCAGAATGTATGGGGGTCATATGGGACTGGGTTTGCCCTCAGTGCCTGGAAGCCCTCAAAGCCCACTGCCCACTTACCGAGGAGGAGCCCAGTCATGCTGTGTGCAGTCCAGCAGCGTCCCCACGTACGTCTTGTTCCTCCAGGTGACGTTGACCACCAGCATTCCTGCAAGGTGAGGGGAAAGGGTCAGATGGGGCCAGGTTTGACCTCACAGTGACAGGGACCTGCCCCTTGAGACAGGCAGGAGGAAGAGCTCAGCTCTAGGGCCAGAGGAAGGCAGACAAGAGGTATTTGGGAGAGGGGAGACATGAGGTCTAGGGCTGGAGGAGGACCAAAATGGGAGCTAGAAACCTCCCAGCTCATTCCCCTTCTCCGCACAGCTCTGGCCAGCATCCACACAACCTCTCCTCCTCTTCCCTATTTTTGTGGGGATGCTAAACCCAGCCATCCCCAAAAGACTGTGGGATCTGTGGTGGGGGGAGGGGCCTGAAGATCCACGTTGGCTCCATGTGCACTCAGGTAGGGTAGGGAAGGTGATCTCAGGGGAGTGAGGGCTGGGAAGCCCCCAGGGGAAATTCAGAAAGCCCCCAGGGGAAATTCAGAAAGCCCACAGCAAGCCTGTGGGCCTGAATGTGGAGCTGCAGACACCCCAGTGGGGATGTGACACTCCCTGAGTATGGCCAAGAATCTCACAGCTCTCTGGAAAATGTCATTACTGCCACTAGATGGCAAGCTGAACCCAGCATTCCCGCTCAGGCATTCCCTGGCAGGAAAATCCAATACTGGTGAAGCAACCCCATGTTGCTTTGCTCCAGCACCTCCAGCGACACCCCTTTGCCCTATATCTCCACCTGGAGAAGCATCTATGAGGTCACATCCTCCCATTTAAGAGCAAAGGCATTCAGAAAACTCAGAGTTTCAGCTTCTTCCCACTAATTCAGAATTCAGAGCAGCCTGGCACTCACCCATGCCAAGGCCATGAGCTCTCAGCACCACTTCTGGGAGGCAGAGGGATCTTCCACAGCATCCCTCAGCATTGGGGTACCTCCTCCCCACCACAGATCGCTCCAATTTCCACACTAGTAGAGCGGAGTCCATTGTGCTGAGCACATTTATCCAAGCAAGGTAAAACTCAGGAGATAGGAAATGCATTCGCAAGGGTTGATAAGTGCAGTGAGATATACGGCCCCGGGAGATGGATGGAGCTGAGGGAGCCTGGAGCAGCTGTGCCTGAAGCGTGTTTATAAATCTCAGCCCACAATCCCCATTGTGCTGTGCCAGTAGCCAGCTGCAGACTCCAGCATGGATAATTATTATTAGTTGAGAGAATGTTTATGCAGATAAAAAGAGAATGAATTGGGAAAAAAAAGTATGAATTCCTCCTCTAGCTGCATCACTTGAATTCTTCATGAATTCCTCCCCTAGCCGCATCACTTCCAGGATGCCCTGACTTTGGCATGCCCCTTCTTCCATGAATTCCTCATCCAGGTGCATCACCTTTGTGATGCCTCTTCTTTATTTCTCCACCAGCTGCATCACTTTCAGGATGCTCCAGCTTTTCCATAGACTCTGCCCATGTGCAAAGATCCTGGCCACAGTGCCCAGGCTTTGGAACACAACGCCCCAAGGTCTTCATGGTCAGCACGCCAGGAAAGCAGGGGACACCATGGGGCAGGGGATGGCCAGCACAAGGGTCATCTTACCCACTGAGGAGTGATGATAAGGCAGCATGTTTGACATCCCAAGGGAGATGGATTCCTCTGGGTGAGCTGTTGAGATCCCTCTGGAGATCTGGAGGGCAGTCTCCAGGTGCTGGAAGCACCTCATTTGGCTGTGCAGACATGCCCTTGGTGTAGCTTTCTCCCCTGTATCCTCTGGGCAAGGGGAGATGTTCACGACATCCCAAATACTTCACAAGTTCCAGCTTCAGACAGCCAGGTCCAGCATCACCCTTGACTCCCACCAGGGAAAATGAGAAGGTAGGAGGGAGACGCCAGGCAAAAAACAGGGATGGTTCCACCCTGCCTTTTCACTTGAGGACGGGAGATGCCGCTATAACCAGAGTCAACACATGCAGCCAACCAGAAGTGACCAAAGGAAATGTCAGGGCTCGTCTTCTGCAGGGCTGGATGTGAAATCCTTGCTCCCGATAGTGGCAACCATCAGCAGCCGGCAGAGAAGGATCTCTGTGCGAGTTCACTGAATTACCACAGACTAAAAATATCAGGGCTGTGGGAAATGGTAGGACGCCTCCAAGGCACGCTCCGAAACGGCAGCTGCGGAAGTGAGGGGTAATGCAGACAGACAGGCAGACGGGCACAGAGCTCCACGGTGGGGTGAGGAGTAGGGGAAAAGGGAGGGGAGAACAGAAACTGCTCTCATGGCACTGCCTCTCAACCAGAAATTGGCAGGGGGGAATGATTTTGTGCTCTCTGCCTCAAGGATATTCAGTTTATCCCTCCTGGCATTGCCACCATAAGCTTCTCCTGATTTCCACCCAAAAAAATCCATACAAGGTCCAAGCTCTCAACAGCTTTGCTGCTGCCCAAGGGGGTCTCTAGCAGTCCTGGGATTTTCAGGGAACTCTGCAGCTCTGGGGATTTTGGGTTGAGGAAAGTCACAGCACAAGAATAGACTGACAGGGACAGGGAGAGGTGGGGGACCCCCAAGAGTTGGGGGTGCCCGTTGCTCCTCTGCAATGCTGTGTGTCCCAACCCTCAGCCCGCCTGTGCCTCAGGTTCCCCACTGAAGGTGCTGCATCCTGTAGAGCGATGGGGCTCTGGCAGACCTGGAACCAGCAGTGCCGGTGCTGGGAGCTCAGCAGAGACCTTCCGCAGGTTTCCTCAGAGCACCTTCCCCCACCAGATCTCTGGTTCCTGGGATGCGCAGAGCAGGGCTCCTGAACATTCCTGCTTTTTGTTTCCTTCTTCCAGATTTTGCAATGTGTGATGTCCTTCTCCCTTGGAGCACCATAAAAAACAGATATCTCCCAGCTGCCTCAATCCTGATGAATTTTTCCATATGGAACAGATAGTAAAGCAGAGAGGACAGAGGAGTGCAGAGGTCCCCATCCCAAGCTAGACATCCCAGTCTTCCCCAGCATGGTCCATGCATTCCTCTCATCCCAATAGCTCAAGTGCTATTTCTCAATATGCTTTTTCCATGGGGAACAACTTCAGTGCTCACATCAGGGGCCACTGCAGCACTCGGTTCTGCACGGTTTCAAAACCAGTTTCCCAGTAGGGAGAGAGAGAAGGCAAACCAGGCCCATCCCTGTCCTCCCAAAGCACAGGGCAAGAAGGGAACCCCACTTAAAGCAGCTCACACAAACATAGATTTCAGTTCAGCTTCCACTGAGGATAAAGGCAGTCACAGTGAGCAGCAGCCAGGGATAAAAGCCAACAGCTTTGTTCTCTGCATGAAATAGCAATGGGAGAGTGGGAGTAGATGTCCAAGAGGAGTGTGTGGATACCTGGCTGAGATGACTGTCAACCAGCCTCCACCACTGCTGTTCTCTCACCTTCATGCTTCCAGACTCTTTCTGCTTCCAGACACAAGTACAAGGAGCTCACCCCACACCTCCCAAGGCAGAAACCTCCAGTATCCCACCAAGGCTGGAGGGAAGGCCGGGTTCCAGTGCTCACCGTGGGCTGCTGAGCCACCTATTCATCCCTGCGTTCCTTGGCAGAGCCTCAACAGCAACGAAAACCCATCAAAGAACCTGGGAAAGCAAACCAAGCTGTGCATAGATGAGACGAGCTCCAGTGGAAAAAAAAGATTGGATTGGCTTGGCAAGAGAGCCGAGAGGCTAATCTCCCGCTGAGTCGATTTTGAGAGCTCCGCTGGTGTTTTTTAATCCAGCAGGAGATTTCTGCTGCCTCCCAGGGTTTGAGCGTTTTTGTGACAGACCTGTGCGTTGCCAAGCAAAAATGAAGTCAACTCCATTGAATTCCCACGCCGGCTGGCACGGCCTTTCCCCGGTACCTCCGGAACAAGTCAGCTCTTGTTGAGAAGCAGAGAAATGGCAGCTCAGATTTTTGCTTGCTGTCTGAGCAAGGAGAGAACACAACGAGCGGGGTTGATGCAAGTGTTGGTCCGTTACTCCTTTTGCTGGACGGATTACAGGCCACTCCCACACGGCTCCTCTGTCCTGACCACCCAGCTGGTGGCAGGAAAACCCAGGACGTGCCAACAAACATGGGACATGGGAAGAAAGGGACTGCCATAACTCCACCATGACACTGTTGGAGAGTGAGGAGCTCTGTGACACTTACCATCCTCTGTTTCCTGCCAGACAATGCCCTCCAGGTTCACGCTGGTCCCAGGTTCACAGGGGCCCAGACACTCGGGCTCGGTGGCCAGGGCCACGTCGCAGGTGTTCACTCCCACCGAGCGGGTGCGTACCATGATCTGCTCGCATGGCGACGAGATGTCGTTGTTGACCACAGGCACGAGGAGGTGCAAGGGCAACACTGCGGGCGTAGAGACTGGAGACTCCATCTGTGGGGAAGGAGAAACACGCAGTCACCGTCAGGAATACTGTTTGGAATATGGAAGGGAGAACAAGTATCAACAGGCATCTACATTCCTGCAGAACCACAAGCCCAGGACTGCCACCCCCGGTTGACATCCCACACTCTGTCAGAGAACAAAGATCTCACAGGGCTGTCCCGCCCTGATGTGCCCATACCCACGTAACCCTGGGGAGTCGGTGCTTTGGAGTCACAGAGATCACACCCAGAAGTCCTTCTGCAGGAGATATCTGTGCTTCTGCTTGAAAGAGCTTCTGCCAAGTTCCTTCCCCGACGGCTTCTGTAATCATCCCTGCTGAGGATGCCCCTTGGCTATGGCTCAGATGTTAATGTAGCCAATGACTTTGGACCCGATGGCTCATTAGAAGAGCTTCTGCTCAACTGGCAGGACAGGACAAATTAGTAGTGGTCTCTCTCCAGCACCAAATCTACCCTGTGACCATCTGAAGATGCAGTCACTTGGATCAGATCCCTCTTCCCTGTGCAAGTGTCTGCTTTAGAGCCTGATGCAACCATTGTGCTCTCCTTGCACATGGAAACCACATTCCATGGCCAGAGCTGGGCTTGGAAAGCCAACAAGCCAACATGCCAAGTGAAAGCCCAGCCAAGCCACCCTGCTGCTGACAAGCCAAGGTCCTTGGCCGCTCTGCCACACGAGCAGAATATGGCAATGTCAGGAGCAGGATGGTTGACGGGCTGATTCTGCACTAGCCAAAGGAAGGGCAGGGTGGGGACCTTCCTCTCCTTCGAGGTTCACCAGCCAAGCCAGGCACAGCCAGCCAGCCCCTGGCCTTGGCTCATGAGGATCTGCAGCAGCTGTTGGGCAAGCTGCTCCTCCTCGGCTCAGACCTCCTCTCTTCACCACTGGGGATCTTGATCAGATGCTGGGCAACCTCAGAAGAGAAGCAGACTGAGGAAATTCATCACATCATCAGCGAGCACTCAGCTGGGTTATGGTTTCAAGAAGGTGAAGATCCTTTTAGAGCACCCAGTACTACACCCAGAGAGTCCCCCTAAACCTCTGCTGATACTATAGACCTGAAGAGCCCAAGTTTGTGGTCACCAAGTGTGGGTATGACACCAGCCCATGACCTTGCTGCTGACTTCCACCCTGGTCCTGACCAGCTGCCAAGTTCACCTGCTCCCCTCTCTTGCTCCCACATCTCCCTCCTTTAATCTGACTCCAGTAGAAGTTTCCACATCCAACCTCACCTGCCCCAAACAACACAGCAAGTGGCTGGAGCATCCCACCTCCCCACCAACTCCTGACCCCACAGAGCCTCCTCACATCCCCAGTGACACAAATCTCTAGGCAGAGGAGAAGGGAGTAGACCCCTGTCTACTCCTACAGGGGTGGCCGTGGGCAGGGGACGCAAATGTGACCCTCAGGGAGAACTGTGAGACATTCTGGCTCTGCCAGTGCACATGATTTGCTCTTCCAGCAGGAGAACACAAAGCACCTTCTGTCTGCAGCCCTCTCCTTGTCCTCCTGCATCCATCCTCTCTCTAGACAGCTCATCAGATTACATCCCATACACTCTACTGGGCATTCAAGATGGTTCATAGGTCTGAAGCAGCAGTGGCTGGACCACATGTTCCTCTCTGCCAGCAGCACAAGCTTGTGCTCCACAGCTCTTTTCTCCACAACTACCTCCAACCTCCCACCAGCAGGACCAACTCTCCCCCCGGAGCCCAACCTCACCTCCAAAGCTGCCCAACTTGCATCCCAAGGGATTAGAGGAAGGTGGTTTTGGCATAAAACAGCCTCAGAAGGCTGCCAGTGGAGCTGCCAAGAGGCTCCCACAGGAAATTTCACACCCCCCCAAAAAAAACCCACAGCAACCTCATCTTGTGCATCTCAGTGGATCCAGGACAAGATGCTCTAAGGAAGCCATGACGCTTTTTTGAAGGGGCTCCTCAATGCCACATTTTGCAAACCACAAGCCAGTCTCCAGCAATGGGAGAGCCAAGGAGGAACCAGGTGGGATTGCCTGGTTCAGGTGGGCAGCAGGAACAGCCCAGGGGGTGATGGGGACTGCTTGCCCCCATTTCCCCCATTGCCCTGGGAGTGGCGGCCGCGTGTGCATGTCAAAGACCTGCGGGTTCTGAAAGCGTTCAGCTTCCTTCCACTCTGCAACAGAAACCACAGCACAACACAGGAGCATTTAATTACAGTTCCAGCTCTGCTAATTATCGCCCGGTCACATTCGTAATCTGCATTATGCCACAGTGCATAATAAGCAGCTCACTGAGATCTCTCTAATAAGAGAGGCGGCTTGATGGGATTTCATATCTCACCCTGCTCTGGAGCAAATAGCCTCTTTCAGCAGCTGGGGGGAGACAAGGTGGCTCTCCTGCTCCCTTGCCCAAGGCTCCAGAGCAAAACAAAAAGGCCCAGGGTGGCTCTTCAGGGGTGAGGGCAGGAACAGAGGTTCCTCACTGGAACATATCTGAAAAAAGCCAAAAGCCAGGCTGGAGGACAAGACGGATCAGTTCCTGGATTTACCTCCCCCCCCTGCATGTGTCTTATCTCCTGGTGGCACAGCATTTCATCCTCCTGCTTTCCCAAGAAAGGTCAGGAGATGCAGGATGGCTGGGGGAGCCCTGGGTACCATGGAGCAGTTCTGCCAGCCACTCTCCCCCTTGGTGAGCACCCAGTACATTCCACCTAGGGAAATGCTGGCAAGGGGGTGGTGGGCAGCACTCAGCCCCCAGAGCAGTGGCTTTCACATTGCCTCCAGCTGGTAGGGCTGCACTAGCAGAGACCTCTGGCTCCCAAAGCCAGCCCTGCACCTTCTGGCCACCCCCCTTAAGATTTCTAGGCCCTAAATCCCCTTTGCAGAAGGAAAATTTATTTCTCTTTCCAAGCTAGGTAGGCTCTAAGGTTAAATGCTGACTACACATTCACTGCTGGAGGGAGCTGATGTGTCTCCAGCCACCCCTGTGCAGGAGTTATGTGGGGTGAAGCCTCCTGATGCCGGTGCTGGCCATCCATGGCTATCCACTGCTGCCTCCCCTAATGAAAGCCCTTTGTGTTTCTGGCGGAGGCTTTCCCATCACGAGGAACGTGCTTTCACCACCACTGAGGACAGAAGTGGAACTGAGCCAAGCCCGAGCAGCGGCAGCCAGAACAGGCACTGCTCGATGGGGGAAAAGCAAATCCAGGGAGAGTCCAGGGTGATACCGCCGGCACCATGCACTGCTGGGCTCTGGGGGGTAATTAAAATCTACCCCTTGTTATACTCCCCCCTGAAAGGTGGGATGGAGTCCCACATGAAGGCAAGCACAGTGTGGGTGCTGGCATAGGGAGATGCACACAAAGCAGTTCCTGCCATCTTAGAGCTGTGCCAATGAGGGTTTGTTAGCATCAGTCATTACAGGGGCACCACAGCACCAGCTAGCTATCGGGAGAAAGATAAATACACCCCACAAATTTTGATGTCGTCCCCTGAACCACCCAGACCACTCATGAGAATTTTGGTTTGCCCCCAGTAATCAAAGTCAGGCAAGAAAAGTGCATTTTGGAGCAATAAGAGCCAAGAGTGACACCAAAACCCCAGAGAACAACCAGCAGAGAGATTTGTGGTGCATCTACAGGGGCAGAGAGGATGTGAAGTGTAGGGCACCCCCAGAGCTGCACCCTGCCTGTCAGCCAGGACCTTGCAGGGCTCAGCGTGAGATCACCAATGCACCCGAGGTGGTTCTAGGTTCCAGTGAACCCCTATGTGAAGGAGCTACGCCGTGCATGGTCCGTTTCTCTCATTTCACTCCTGCAGACATAGAGACAACAAAAGCCAAGAGGGGACCTTGTTACTGGTCACAAACTCACAGGTGTGTGTGCCAGGAGACAAAACATGGACCAGTACTGTTCCATCAAGGTGCGTTGCTGGAGGCTGCAGTCCCATGTCACTGCACGGCTCAGCCCAATCTTTGGCACCTTTAATTTTGTCACTCCTGCCCTGCTCAGTCACCACATCCCCCACAGATTTGCTTATTCAGAGTAGGAGCTGGGAACATCCAGATGATACATCCAGATGACAAGCATCTTTGGTGGGCATCTCGAAACCCTCAAGCCACAGCACTTGGGGTGCCTCTTCCCCACCGCTGACCTTGTCAGAGATTTCAAAAAGTCTTTTCCAACCTGATCCCCAAAGCTTGGTATGCAGAGCATGAAGACAAATCCCTTTGTTGGCTCTGGTGCCCACCATGCCTATGATTCCATCTTGAATCCACCTGCAAGCAGAGCTCCCGGTCACGTCCCCCAGCAGCAACATCCCAACACACTGGAGGTACTCAAGGCAATTATTGTGTTGTGGAGAAGGCTCCAGAAGATCCCCTCCCCAAACTGCACAGGGGGTACCAAACCCTGACTGTTTGCTGGCTGGATTTCTCCAGCAAGAAAGCAGCCAACAAGAGCTTCCAACAAATCCACACATGCAGGGAAATAACGGTGGCACAAGTGGCAGGTCCAAGGATGGAGCTGGGAGTGCGGTCTGGTGCACCGATCCCAAACGCTGTTGCCTGTTGCTTTTCCCTCTTGCTGTAGTAGGAGGATGAGGCTGCTGACAGCAATATGTGAAAAAAGAAATCTGTTCTAGAAGACAGTTTCCCTTCCCTAGATAAACTCTAGCTCAAATAAGCAAAGCCCGTTATTTCTATGGACCACAGGAACACAGTTGGAGAAGACACTGAGTAGCTCAGTTGGCAAATCCAAACCCATAGGACAACAGGGCAACTGCTCTGAGAAAAAAAAATTGACATTTCCAACAGCCCCCTAGTGAGAAGCAGTAAATGCCACAAGAAAGGATCAATACTTCCATGTGCTCCCATATGCACACAGTGGAGAGGGCTCAGCATCGTACTCCTTGAGTTCACTCTACGGAGGACAGGAGAGCCTGCAACCTCCTGGCCAGAGCCACCACCAAAGAGCCAGGCAATTAGGATGGGAAGTAACGATTTTTAAGGAGC